GTGAATACTGTATTTGGTGATCCCCAATCAGAAAGACCAAAATAATCTAAAATCACCTCCTCTCTGTATCCCTAAGGTAACTTTTCCACTTGGGCTTGCAAGGTTCATGCAGAGAAATAAGCATGCCTTGGCTGACCTTCCCCCACCACCTCTCTGCGGTAACAAGGACCTTCCCAGCGGCTCAACCATTTGAATAAAAAAAAAAAAAAACACATGAGCCCATTTTGTGCAAATCTAAGATGAGCAAGTGCCAGTGTCACCTGTAAACATGTGCCCGGAGCACGGGAGCGACCTGAGTAGGCAGAAAAAAGCAAAAGATGCATCTACATGATCAAAATAATGTATGATTTTTCTTCTAAAGGTTGCCGTTTTCCCCCCTTTCTCGCTTTCCAACACTATTTTATTCTGGTGCGATATGTTGTAGACAAAAAAAGCTTTATGCTTTTATTCCCCAGTTGTTTTGGTGATTAAATCATTTTGAGGGAACTGCAACAGTGACTTTCATTCACTGCTCCCTTGGTGACAGCTTTTTTCTGTAAAATGCCTGCTGTTCTCTCTTTCTCTGCTCATTTTCATAGGAATCTGGCACCTTAGAATCCCAGGCTGTCTGCAGTCAAATGCTTGCTAGGGAGGGGAGCCAGTGGGTGGGAGATCCTGCAAGAAATCAGCACCAAATTTAATAGGAATAAACTCCTACACCATGCCTACCTAGTGGCTAGGTCCCACCCCTACCCCTCCAGGAATAAGGAAGGTTGCAGAAGTCCCTGAAAGCTATTTGCTGAGCCTCTTGTGAACTGTGGGTTGGGTCACCTGAACTTCAGTAGATGTTCTTCAGTGACAGATTTGGGTTTTGATCCTCCCTCTTTTATCTCTCCACAAAAGTCTTGGCAAACTGATGTTTATGCAACCAGTGGGGCCTCTGGGGCTGAGGGGCAGGAAGCCAGTGGGTGGGGAAAACCTGCAAGAAATCAGCCCCTAATTTAATGAAGCATAGGAATAAGCTCCTACCCCATGTCTGCCTAGTGTCTAGGTCTCTTAGTTCATTGTCTCTTAAGTATCCCAACTTCTCTTGAGGGTGGGAGGTGGAGCATAGTACCTCCTGATTAGCAACCCCTAAGTCAGAGAGGTACTAATCTCATGAATTCTCTCGGACTATGGTTATATATAGCTCAGTGATCTCATATAGCTTAGGCTGGCTGGAAGCTAGTTTTGAACTCACTATGAAGCAAAAGATGACCCTGAGCTTCTTAGTTTTCCTGCTTTCATCTCCCAAGTGCTGGGATTACAAGAATGAATGCCACCATGTCTAATTTATGTGGTGCTGGGGATCAAACCCAAGGTTTTGTGCCTGTTAAGACAAGCACTCTACCAACTGACATATATAACCATAGCCCCATCCCTGTCTCAAAAGAACAGGGGGAGGAAGGAAATGGGAAAGAAAGGATGGAAGGAAAGAAGGAAAATGAAGGCAGGAAAAAAGAGAGAAGGAAGGAAGGAAGGAAGGGAGGAAGGAAGGAAGGAAGGAAGGAGGAAAATGTTGAGAACAAAGGCCAAGGCCAATGAATGAGTTGGGATTAGGAAAGTCCTTTTCATAGCAAAGGGGATGTGGAAGAAGAGAAGTTGGCAAGTAAGTAGGGGGATTTGAGACAAAGTAAAAAGAAAAATAAATCTCTGGACCAGGGCATGGCAAGAAATGCAGAGAGCAAATGTTGATAAAGTGAGGCAAGCAGGGGGCAGACCATGATCTCATTGTGACTCATCATAGAGATAAGGAGATGTCCTGAGGGGCTCTCATCTGAGGGGCTTTCAACAAGTGGGTTTCATTTCTCTGCATTGGCAGATGGAGGCTAGATGTGAGCAGCTATCTTTAGCAGTGAAGTACGGTGGGGAGTGCTAAGAGCTGGCAGGATCTGTGGGATGGAGAGGAGAGGTCTCTCCTTATTACTGTGTTGTTTTACTTTTATCTTCACGGTTTAGTGTTCTAAGCCTGTGAATTTATCACTATGTATCTCTCCTCTTGAGAGCCACATGAGTTCTTCCAGTTGAAGAGTAGACATTACAAGGTCTGCTTGCATGAATATTCTAGGGCACATTTTTATTTTGGGAAAAATATATGAAAGCATTTCTAATTATGAATGGAATTGGTGGTTTATGGGGAATACATATGCTCAGCCAAAGAGGCTAGACCACCTTCCACCAATCAACTTCGGTTGCATATAAGAGTTGGCACTGTTTGTTACCGTAATACATTTGGTTGGGTCCTGTTTCGAATTGTAAGAGGCATCTACATGTATAGATCTAGTAAGCCATGAAATGGAGGCGTCTGGACCTTGGCTTTAGCAGTATCTGTGCAGCACTTAGAGTAAGTCAAGCTCTCAAAGGGAACAAAGGTTTATCAGAATGGCGGAAGCTGAAGGTAGGGAGGAAAGGCTGACAGCACCTAGTGTGGCAGTGTGGAGTTGGAAGAACAGTGCTGGGGAGAATCCATTCCACTTGGAAAGATGAAGCCCTAGGTGATTTCTTTTGCTAGTGCAGGCCTTGTCACTGTAGTACTTGCTAGAGGTGGTTTGAATGAAAATGGTCCCCATATTTCAAACCTTCATCCCCCAGTTGGTGAAACTGTTTGGGAAGGATTAGGAGGTATGGCCTTGCTGGATGAGGTCTGTCACTGGGGGACGGCTTTGAAGTTTCCCAGTGTGCCTTTCTCTGTCTCCTACTTGTTGGTTAAATTATGAGCTCTCTCTGTACCTGCTATCATGCCTTTGCTGGGCCATCAAGCATTCTAATTCCCTAAAACCATATAGCCTAATTAAATACTTTCTTTTATAAGTTTCCTTGGTCATGGTATTTTATGACATCGATAGCTAATAAGACATTGGTTCACTTGCTCAGCTAAAACAAAACACCACAGACTGGCTTGCATATGACAACAGTTCTAGAAGATCAAATGTCCCTTATCAAAGGCCCTAGCAGGTTTAGTGTCTGGTAAGGGCTGCTGGTTCATAGGTGGTGCTTTTTCTCAGTGTCCTCACAGATGGAAGGTATCCAGCTTTCTAGGACCTTATATTAAAGCACTCATTTCATTGATGCAAGTAGACAGCTTAGTCAGAGCTCCAATGTGATTTAATCACCTCCCAAACCATCCATCTCTGGATGCTCTCACATTGGCAAACAGATTTCAACATAGGAATTGAGCAGGAGGAGGAGAAGCCAAATCTTTAGATCACAGCTAGCACTGTGGTAAACACCCAAACCCAGCATGGAGCCACGTATCTTTAATCTCAGCACCCAGGAGACAGATGTTGGGTAATTAAGATTTCAAGGCCAGTCTTGGCTACATAGTAAATTTGATGTCATCCTGGGCTATATGAGATCCTGTTTCCAAAAACCCCAAATAGAAACTACAGAAAACGACAGTCGTTCACATTCACTGCTACCCTAGAGGGTCAGTTCTGTCTGTAACAGGTGACTAACAGAGAAACAAGGTCCCAAAATAGCTAACAGTGTGGTGGTTGCCAATGAAGTTGCTGACCCTGAATCTTCCTGATTTCCATCACAGCACCAGCATCACCATGGGCACTATCTTCTTCCAGGTCTTTAGGTCTCCCTGGGTAGAGAACAAGGCTCTTGCTGCATACGACCGATGCCCCCGTCCAGTGCCAGCCTCACAATGAGTGCAGTAATGTGGTCACAGAATGGGGAAATGTGTATTCTTTAACTGGTAGCTTTTATAATCATGCTAAAAAGATGAGTGTCTACTCTGGAGCTGAAGGCTTTTCATGGGCATCCGATTCTCTTGCTAAATGACAAAGTGGTTAGAGGAGGGACTTACAGCTTCCATTGTCTGCATTCAGGTTTCTTTTGAGAATTTTACAGTAGGTGTGCATTGTTTTCTAGTCAGCACAGAAATTAAAGGATTTGTTTTCTTGAAAAGAAGTGGGGGCTTTGACATTAATGAGGAGAAAATTAATATATGGTACTTATTCATTCTCAGGTTCATGGCTGAGACTCCTTATGACAAATGACAGATTGATAAAAGCATGCAAATTTGGGCTGATGAGAAAGCTCAGTCAGCAGAGTACCTGATATGCAAGTATGAAGATCTCTGTTCAATCCCCAGAAATGAAATTTAAAAAGCTGAGGTATAGTGGCGAAGAAAAGACAGGAGAAGCCCCGAGGCTGGCTGAATAGCTTGCTAGCCTAGCCTGTTTGTCCATTTCCAGGCCACTAACTGACGGTATTTAAAAAAAAAAGTAGATGGTTCCTGAGGAACATCTGAGGCTGTACACACACAAGCATGCAAATTTACCTATTAAGTTTTACAAAAAGGAACACTTTATTCACTGTTGGTGAGTGTGTAAACTGGTGTGTGTAGCCACTATGGAAATCAGCACAGAGGTTCCCTTCCCACTCAAAAAGAAAGAAAGAAAGAAAAAAAAAACACCCTTTAGAACTAGAACTACAACATGATGCAAGTTTACCACTCCTGAGTATTTACTGTTCAATCCCCAGAAATGAAATTTAAAAAGCTGAGGAATCTATGACAGAGACACCATATACAAACAGGGCATGGTGACACATGCCTTTAATCCCACTCCTGAAGAAGCAAAGTCAGGGAGCTCTTTGTGAGTTCAAGGCCAGCTTGGTCTACATAGCGAGTTCCAGGATAACCAGGGCTATAATGAGACCATATAGCCATACTTTGTGACACCCTGGAGGGGGGAATTATGAGCATATGAGTATGAATTCTCTTGAGAGAGCAAACAAATACATAAATAAATTTAGTTTTAAAAAAGCTGTACTGCACCCTGCTTTGTTATATTAATGTATTTTCCATAATCCTATAAGGAAGAAAACTAATAATTGCCATCCTTTTCCTACCTCCTCCAGCATCTGTTCCAGTGTCAGCTGGACTTTTTCCATAACCTCCATGTCACTGTATTCTCTTTGCCTTCTTTCCTTTCTTAATTTCATTTTTTCCTCTCTTGTTCTTTGTCCAGCCACATTGGGATTGTCATCGACAGAGGTATGTTACAGTAAGAAGGATGGAATTTTCATCTTTATTGCTTTTAAAGTACAACTGGATGTGTATGAGTCTAGCACTATTTGTGGGGAAGAGTGCTGAGGGTGAAGCCTAGGGCCTTGTACATGCTAAGCAAGTGATTTGTACTGATACCTACGCCTGAAGCCTGAGAGGCTTTTTTCAAATGTAGGTTGTTTTATTTGTGTGTTGGATGTGTACATGAGAGTAAATGCAGGTCTTCCTCTATTGTTCTATCCCTTCTTGCCTTAATTCACTAAACTGGAAGCTTGCTTTTGTGGTTAGGTGGACTGGCCATAAGCTACTTAAATCACCCTTCTCTATCCCCCTAAACCGGGGCTACAGACACATCATGTAGCCACCCCCAACTTTCTGCTTGGTTTCTGGGGATTCGAACTCAGGACCTCATATTTGTACAGCAAGGGCTCTTACCCACTGAGCCATCTCCCCAGCCCCCTTTCAAATGCATTTTTTTAAAAAAAGTTTTACACTGAACTTAGGCCTATCATTCCAGCACAGAGTAAACTGAGGCACTCAAGGGTAGGCTGGCTGCATAGTGGGTTCCAGGCCAGCCTGGGCTACAAAGTGAGACCCTGACTCAAAAGAAAGAAAGAAACAAAGAAAGAGAGGAGGGAGGGCAGGAAAGGGGGGAGAAATTGAGAGGTATGCAGGAGAAATTAGGGGTATAGCTCAGTCGGCAGAGTGCTTACCTAGCATACATAGTGGTGAACGCCTATAATCCCAGAACTCTAGAGGTAGAGGCAGAGGTGTCATTTCAAGGTTTTATTTTGACTATATAGAGTTTAAGTCCAGCCTGGGACACAAGAGACCATGTCTCAAAACAAGGAAATAAGAAAAGCAAAAATCTAAAAGACACCCACTTAGATCTATTTTAGGTACCTTTGTCCATGCTAGACAAGTGATTTAACACTTAGCTGTACCCCCTAGGAAGGTTGGTGGGGTTTCTTTGTTCTTGGGACAGGATTTTGTATATAGCCCAGATACCACACTCAGTTAGATTGGCATTTGTTTTTGCTGTTGCTATTGCTTTTTGTTGTCATTGTTGCTTTTTTTTTTAAGGCAAGTTCTCCTGTAGCCCAGGCTGGCCTGGAACTTGATAGGTAGCTAATGATAACTTTGAACTCTTGATCTCCCTATCCCTATCTCCCAAGTGCTGGGATTACAGTCATATACTACCACAGGGAGCATGAAGAGTCCAACCTTGTACTGGAACTCCATCTCCAAGGTGAACATTATCCTTGTGTACACAGGTAGGCCTGGGAGATAATGAGCTGGTTGCCTATAGTGATAGACATTTTGAAATTTAGAATTAAAGATGAGCAGGGCATGGTGGAACATGTCTTTAATCCCAGCATTTGGGACATAGAGGCAGAAAGATCAGAAGGCTCAAAGGCCATCCTTGGCTACACAGAGAGTTGGTGGTCAGCCAGCCTGTGCTGAACAAGACCCAGCCTGAAACAAAACAAAAAGGGGATAGAAGGATGGCTCATTTGGTAAATCCAGAGAACTCATAAAAAATGCCGGGCATGGTAGCAGGAGTTTGTAATCCCAGTGCTGGGGAGGTGAAGACAAGACAAGCCCCAGGGCATGCTGGCCAACTAACTGGTCTAGCCTAATTGGTGAGCTCCAGGCCAATAAGAGACCCTGCCTCAAAGGAGGCAGATGGGATTCATGAGAATACCACCCAAAGTTGTCCTCTAGCATCCACATGTGAGCATGCAAGAACATGTGCACCTGAATGTGACATGTACACGCGCACACACCTTTTTAAAACGTAATATAGAGCTGGGTATGCCTTCGTTGGTAGAATGCTTGTTCAGGAGTCATGAAGGTCTTGATTTAATCTTAAACTGGACAAGGTGGCACCTGTCTAGAAGCCCAGCACTCAGAGGTGGAGACAGGAGGGTCAGGAAGTCAACAAGATCATTCTTTGCAACACAGTGTTTAAAGTCGGCCTGGAATACACGAGAGAGAGTCTCTATCTAGAAACAGTAGCAGCAGCAACAACTTAAGCTAAAAAGGAACATGGGATCCAAGCCACTGTGTGCTTAGAGCCAGCAACCACACACTGTAGTGAGCGGGTCTGACCTTTGCAAATAAGCTTCTTGTGGTGCTCTGGCCAGGTAGTTGCTTTTGACTATGACTTTTGTGACTTGTGCTCTTCTGGCTGCCTGCAGGATGAGGGTGAGGACCCCTGGTACCAGAAAGCATGCAAGTGTGACTGCCAGGGAGGAGTCAACGCTCTGTGGTCTGCTGGAGCTACCTCCTTAGACTGTATTCCAGGTGAGTGGCTCAACGCCCTGGCAGTCCTCCTTCCAACTCTCAGTCCCTCTGCTTTCTCTCAAGTTGGCTTGTGAGCTTCACATCTCACACTGGCCACTGCTCCCACATTCTGTTCATCTTTGGCTGCCAGGCTCTCTCCCTCTCTGGGTTGCCTGAGATGGTCAGGTAAGACCTAAGTGTCAATGCAATCTGAAAATAACTCAGTATGAGGGAAATCCCTTCTTATAGGTATCAAAGTGTGTGTGTCTCTGTGTGTGTGTGTGTGTGTGTTTCTATATCCTGTGATTGGAATCAGGCTGTCTCCAAATCAGCAATGAGAATAAGGAGGACAAAAATCTAGTAAAACAAGTCGCTTCTAGAAACTAAATTACTGTCATTTCCTGGATTGGCAGAGTTCAGCCAAAACGGAGGAGCTCTACAGTTCCTCATGTTGTGGTGACTCCAGCCATAAAGTTATTTTTGTTGCTACTTCACAACTGTGATTTTGTTAGTTATGAATCATAATGTAAATATTTTTGAAGACAGGAGTTTGCCAAGGGGGTCGGGACCCACAAGTTGAGAACAGCTGGCAGTTTGGTGATCCAGCTCTGTGGGGTTGTTAGGAGGAATAAATGGGACAAGGCGTCATTGTGTTGGACTTGGCCAACTGTGACCTTTAATAGACATTAGTTCCTTTGTTTTGTTGCCTCCTGGAGTTTACAGTGAGAAATCAGAGCAGACTTGGAGAGGCTTGCCCTGTCTCTGTAAATATTTGCAAGGCTTTATCCTTTCCATGGCCTGGGGCCATGGTGCATGAAAGCCATGCCTCTCCACGTTCTGAGAGTGCTTTCATCTCTGGTTCTCAACAGAAACTCAGTCTCTTCTTTAGGAAACTGGGGTGGGGAAGTTGGGGAACAGGAAGGATGTTCAGTGAAATGGGGTTTCCTCAGGAATGTCCCATTATACTTGGTGGCAAGGACTCCAGCAGCTGTTAAATGTTGATGATTTGCCCAATCTTAAAGGACCTTCTCTAGTAATGCATGTATAAATCTGTTCAAGGACTTTAACCCCACACCTACTGTGTGCCGGGCACTGATAGAAAGGCAGGAACAAAGGCTTTGGCTCCACCATACTGAGGTTTACCACTCAGTGGAAATGGTCATTTTTTTTTTCTGCTATGGATGGAGAGATATGCCTCTTCCTAAAGGAAGACCCTCTAATACTAACTGCCACCTCAGTCACCTCCATTCTTGTGCTCTGCAAGAGGAAGAATCACACTGGGGCACAGGTAAAGGGTATAAGCCATCATGGTTTCTTATAGTAAGCAAGAGAAGTGTAGCAGGTGAGGTGACAAAAGAGAAACTGAGTCTAACCCTCAAGAATCTCCTGCAATGGCAAACGGTGGTTTCTGTTGTCTAGGCTTCTAACTTGGTCTACCATCTTTCTGCCCTTGCTCGCCCTTGAGGGCAATCGGAGGTAGTCCTTTTCCTGTAGTACAGATGGAAGCTTTACTAGAAGTAGTCTTTATCTGCAATTCAATTGGTATAACCACCCATAAAGTGAGAAGCTGACTAGGGGGAAAGGGTTTTGTTGGAAGCTAGCTGGAGCATGCTAAGACCTACCTTGTTTTCCTCAGAGCCCTGTCACTCCTTTTATCTGGTCATCTTGCCGATCACATACTCTGCTGTATGAATTCTTATTCTCTTCTCACTGTGTCTGACCTCACCATTGTAAACCTAACATTTGTTTTGAATGAAATATTTCCAGTAGGGACATCAGATATACTCGGATTTCACTCCAGAGAAGCTTCGTGAAAAGTAGACAGAGGGCTGAGGAGGGTGGAGCTCTGTTGGCAGACTTGGCTGCCTAACATACCAAGCCTGGGTTCCATTGCTAGGCCCATGATAGCTGAACTCTGGAGGTTCAAGTAGGAAGATGATTGTTTCAAGGCATACTCAGTGCTACACAGGGAGATTGAAGCAGTCCTGGATTACATAAGACACTATGTCAAAGATGAATGGGTAGGGCCAGTGGCATGGCTCAGTAGGCCAAGGTGCCTGATGAGCAGACCCATACCATTAAAGGAGAGGGTGACTGCTTAAAGTTGTTGTCTTCCAACTTCCGCTCCTGCACTGAGCTCCCACATGTGCATACTCCCTTCAACCACGCCCCCAAATAAATATAGTTATAAATATTAATATTTCATAGTAATATATCATATTTATAAATATTTATATTCATTTATATGAATAGAGTTTATTCATATAAGTGAATTTGAGATTCTAACAAGAAACAGTATCTTAGCATAAGCATTCTCTTTATAGTGTTTATTTCCTCTAGCAACACAGATATTTTCAGATAGAAAGGAAGAAAGCCACGTCAATGTGAAATGGCTGGCTCATCTTGTTAACTGGCTGTTTTGTGAAAGAAAAGATTCACAGCAGCAGGACTAGGCTCAAACTTCCGGAAGGCATTTGTTGGTCACTGTTTCCGTTTCTCATGGAATGCCAAGAACACCACATTGTCACTCTGGATCTTGATATTGAGTGTTTCCATCAGGCCTGCCTTAAGAGGGAAGATCCTAGAAAGCACAGAAGTATGGGTGTTGTCACTCAGAGCTGCTGAAAAAAGCCCATGGGGGTATGTAGGATAAAGTCTAGGTGTTTTGCCCACAGAACAGAAGGCCAGGGACCTACTTTAGCATCTACTAAACAAATACCCATTCTGCCTTTTCTACAGTTGACCTAAGATTGGCCTGGCCTCCTGAGGATGGCAGGGTGGGGACATGCAAAAGCCTAGGAAATTCAGGGGTTCAAGCTAGGGATATAGCTCAGTGGTAGAGCACTTGCCTTACATGTGTGAAGCCCCAGGTTCAATCCTCAGCACTACAAAAAGAAAAACAAAATGTAAAGATAATCCAATAGGTCCTTAATACTTTACTTTTATTCCACATTAATATTCTATGCTATCTGCACATCTATCTTTTATAAACATTATTCTTTTATTCTACAGTCTATTAAATATTTTTAATTCTAACACACACACACACACACACACACACACACACACACACACAGTACTATTCACAGCTCTCATCTATTTCTTGTCAGAAATGTTCCTGACTTGCCCTATCCTCTCTTTGTTTTTTAGACAGGATCTCATAGAGCCAAGCATGACTTTGAACTCCCAATTGTTCTGAGAACTGGGATTGTAGGCATGTCCCACTAGGCTTAGTTTTCTTTGGGTTTCTTTAGGGCAACTTTGTTTTACTTTTGTGGTGCTGGGATTTGAACCTAGAGCCTCACACATGCTAGGCAAATGCTAAATCAAAGAGCTACACACCAAGACCTTGAACATGTTAGAAAAATGCTCTACCACTGAGTAACATCCTTACCTTCTCCTTTAGCCCTGAATATTCCTTATAAACAAGTCTGGAGTTTGCACCTACAGACCCATAATATATCCTGAATAAAGTAAGTTAACATGTAAAGAACCTTACCAACACATTTCACACATACCCTTATCCATCTAGTTATCAAGGGTTCAATGAGCCATAAAAGATGTCAATTTTTCTTTAAGAGTGAAATTACTATTTAAAAAAGTGTAATGGGGCTGGTGAGTTGAGATAGGTCAGTGGGTAAGAATGCTTTCTATGTAAGCTTGAGGACCTGGGTTTCAATTCCAAGCATCCACATTAAACGCTAGGCTTCATGAGGTGTGCAGGTACATACCTTTCATCCAAGTACTAGGGAGGCAGAAGCAGGCAATTTATAAGCTTGAGGCCAGCTTGGCATACATAGTGAGTCCCAGACTAGCCTGCACTGCAAAATGAAACCTGATCAAAACAAACTGAACAAATAACTCCCAAACGAACAAACAAACAAACAAAAGCTAGGCATTATTATATCTGTAACCTCAGCATTGGTGGATGAAGGCAGGTGAATTCTAGGAACTTGGTGGCCAGTCTGACCAGCCAAAACCCTGAGCTTCAGTTCTGTAAGAGATCCTGTCTTAAGGGAATAAGGCAGAGAGTGATAGAGAAATTCACCGAACATCCTCTTCATGGGCTCTCCACATGGACATGTGCACATTCATTGCACTTATATGCAACACACACACACACACACACACACACACACACACACTAAAATCTAAAATCACTGGGCAAAAACTTGAGACGATAATGTACGTGGACAAGGTCTGGGCCACACAGAGGGTGTACAGCTGTTTATGGTGGAAGCTCTCTCTAGGCTAGACTTCCTTAGAACCCCCAGATGGTTTCCTGAGGGTGTTGGTCCCATTCCTCAGTGAAACCATATCTTCAGTGAGCTCAGACCTCCACAAGGTCTCTCCTGTTTTAGCTGTGGCTATCACCTATTCTTCTGGTACTGTATAGATTATTCAATATTCTAATCCTGGCAGATGCTGCCAATAGGGTAGGTGGAGAGTTGGGCAGACAAGCATGGGGTGCTGGACTTCTCCTATGGTAAATCCAAAGAGAAAACATGCAAAGTCCAAGAAAGAACCAACCCATATTGCAGCCTGCTCCTTTTTAGCTAGGTACTACATACTCCTCTAAGTCTCCAACTGTCAAACATGATTTCACGTTATATTTTTTGCAAATGTCTCAAGGCAATATTACTATGATGCCCAGAAACAGGCTTAGAGGGCATTAGGAAGTAAGCTCACTGGCACTGGGCAAGCCTCTTTATTCCTAACTGCTCATTAGAATCATCTGTGGTTCTGGGGCCCTACTCCAGTCCAATGCCAGCAGAGAATCTCTGAGAATGTGTCAGAACACTGGTGTGTGCCTGAAGCTCCCTGAGTGACTAGGTGGCACAGCTCAGATTGATTCCTCCTGGTCAAGGCTCGAGACCCAGAAATTAGACAGGAGGTAGGATGGTGCAGAGCCAGCTTGGATTATAAAGGATATCAAACTTCTATGAGACATCCAGGCTCTCTCTCTCTCTCTCTCTCTCTCTCTCTCTCTCTCTCTCTCTCTCATACACACACACTTCACACACTTTCTGGGACAGGATCTCAGGTATTCCAGGCTGGCCATGAACTCACTACGTAGCCAAGGATGTCTTTGAATTCCTCTATCCTCCTGCTTCTAGCTTTTATAAAGGTGTGTACAAGCATGCCCAGGTTCTGAGGAGGGAACCCAGGACTAGGTAAGGTCTCTACCAACTGAGCTATAGTCCCAGACCTCCAAAACATGTCCTTGGGTCACACAATCTCAGCTGCTGGACAAGCCCTTAACTGACACACACAGCATGTGGGAAGCAAAGCAAGAAAGTCAATGAAAGGTAAATAGAAAGCAAACTGCCACAAACATTGATGGGAAGTTGGTAACAAGATTTTCCTTCCTTTCTCCCTCTTCCCTATAGCCCATGGCCATGGTAAAATGCTTGGCACATTTGCCTTCATGGTAGACAAAAAAAAAACTTTACAGATTAAAGAACCTGGGGAGACTAGGGTGGTGGGTGCATATCAATAATCTCAGCATTTGGGAAGTGAGGGCAGCAGGATCAAGGCCAGACTTAAACTACATAGCAAGTGTTCTTAGTTTCAAGCCAGCCTGGGCTACATGAAACCTTGCACCCTGAAACCAAATTAATCAAGTCTAAGTGACAAGTGAAGGCCCATTAAAACCCTGTTTTCTGTTGTTGGAATCTTGTCCTTCCTTCTGGTAGGTTGACCCTGACTGGAAGGCTGGAGGGGGTTGAGGGTTTGGATCTCTCAATCCACCAGCCCACAAAATGCCTTCCCTGGCAGGCCAAAGCTTTTAAAATACACTTTGAAAGTCTGCTTGTTAAAAATACTTCTCTCCGGGAGTGGACTCCTAAACACTGCATTCTTAATAAGCTTCCCTAATGATTCAGCCACACCAGGTGTGATTGCTTGGCTCAGAAAAGTGCCCATACTCTCTCCTGAAAACTGGCATGATTTTAATAGACTTCAAGGCCTTGAGAGCTTGATAAACTACAAATGCTGTCCTCTCAAGCCTGGCCACACTAACATGCATTTACAGGTAGAAAGGAAGCTGAGCTAGCCTAGCCTGAAGCCTGTGGCCATCCTGTCTATGTCTAATCTCAGACAGAGCCAGGGCATGGCCATTTCTGGAGGTGTGTGTGTATGTGTGTGTGTTTGTGTGTGTGTGTGTGTGTGCATGCGCGTGCATGTGCATGTGTTGTGTTTTAAATCAGGTTGTCAATTGGCAAGATAACCCAATGCTTGCTGTTTTGTTTTGTTTTGTGGCTTAAACAAGTCAGCTTTATTCCTCTATAGCAGGGTTCAGCCAGCTAATGCTTGCTAGCCAAACCCAGCTGTCAACTGCCTTCCTAAATAAACATTTTTCCTATTTATTATCTATCTATATATGTATCTGTCTGTCTGTCTATTTTTTTTTACTTATTCACATTACATCCCACTCACTACCCTCCTCCCAGTCACCTCCTCCCACAATCCTTCCCCTCTGAGCCAGTGGGCTCCCCTGGCATCCTCCCACCCTGGAACATCAAGTGAGGTTAAGTGCTTCCTCTCCCACCGAGGTTAGACAAGGCAGCCCAGCTAAAAGAACATATCCCACGTACAGGCAACAGCTTTCAAGATAGCCCCCACTCCAGTTGTTTGGGACCCACGCAAGGACCAAGCCACATATCTGCTACATATGTACAGGGAAGGCCTAGGTCCAGCCCATGTATGTTCTTTGATTGGTGGTTTGGTCTCTGAGAGCCCCAAGGGTCCAGGTTAGTTGACTGTATTGCTCTTCCTGTGGAGTTCCGATCCCATTTGGGGCCAGCAATCCTTCCTATTCTTCGATAAGGGTGCCCAAGCTCCATCCATTGTTTGGCTGTGGGTGTCTGCATCTGTCTGAGTCAGCTGCTGGATGGAACCTCTCAGAGGACAGCCATGCTAGGCTCCTGTCTGCAAGCATAACAGAGTATCATTAGTAGTTGCAGGGATTGGTGCTTGCCCATGGGATGAGTCTCAAGTTGGGTCAGTTATTGGTTAGTCATTCCCTCCATTTCTGCTCCATCCCCAGTCCCTGAATTTCTTGTAGACAGGATAAATTTTGAGTTGAAAATTTTGTAGGTGGGTTGGTATCCCTGTTGCTCCACTGGGGTTTCTGCCTGACTACAGGAGGTGGCCTCTTCAGCTTCCGTATTTCCAATACTGTGAGTCACAGCTAAGGTCATGCCCCCATTCATTCTTGGATGCTTCCCTTATCCCAGGTCTCTGTCTCATTCTAGAGATGCCCCCTACCACACAATGCTGGTTTCAACAAGAGTACTTAGTTACGAAGGGAAGGGAGCAGCAGGCAACTAGCCTATAAGGACCACTTTGGCTGTCCCATTTAGAAGAAAGCAGCCTCCTTCAGCTGTTACCTATTCAGTTATCCTTTATTTTTCTTCAGACAATGAGAAAACGACAATTTCCAAGTAAGAAGTCAGTCTCAGTATATAATTACCATTTTGCTGCTCACAGTTGTTTTATTCCCGTAATTGGCATCATCTGCTACCCAAGAACAATTAGAGACCCTAATGTTCTTATGCAGCACAGTTCAACCTGCAGTAACGAGGCAAACCGGACGCCTGGCATTTCAATACGCTATTTCACTACACACCTCTTAGCATTCAGGTCCCTAAGTTGATGAGGGAGGTGGATGCATTTTTCACCCCCCTATGAGGTTGCCATAGAACCAGCTCCCCCAACCTTCTCCCCTACTTTTATGAATGCTGAGTGAATGTCTCTATGGCAATCCCTTTACTTCAGTTCACCTTCATCCCGTGTGAGCACTTAATAGTGGCATGTCCGACTCTCAGCATCTGGTACCATGCTGAGAAAGGAAATGTCCACTACCTGCAAAGTGCCTATGTTTCTTGCTTTGCTCTTTAAGCTATTTCCTGTTGAAGTTCTGGGATAAGGAGGGGGTTCATTCCTTCTTTTGGGTTTTGGAATGAGATCTCAATATTTTCTCAGGGTAACCCAGAGGAACTGGGACTCCACACAAACATATGCTACCACTCTGCCTAGAGATTTGGGTGTTTGAGTGTATGCTGTTTTTCCTCCTCAGAATGCCCATATCACAAGCCCCTGGGTTTTGAGTCAGGGGAGGTCACGCCAGATCAGATCACTTGCTCCAACCCAGAGCAGTATGTGGGCTGGTATTCCTCATGGACGGCGAACAAGGCCCGGCTCAACAGTCAAGGTTTTGGGTAAGTAGGGCAGGCAGCCCAGGTGGAGTCATTCTTATATTTTTAAAGATGTGCTTTGAAAAATTAGGTCTGTCTCCTAAATGGATGGCACAGAAAGCATTTATTCAACAGCTCCAAGTGCCTTGTTGTGCCAAGGACTGGGTGTACAGTGGTGGCAGAGTGGATGAGTCCCTTGGCGTTGGTGGCACACAGTGAAGAGAGGGAGACAGACTGTAAACACATCCTTGCATCCCTGCTCAAAGGATAAACACTGTTGAGAAGAAGATGGAGGAAGGAAGAGCTCATCAGTTAAACATGCCAAGGAAGTCTTTCCTAAGGAAAAGAACTAAGACTCGGGCTATGTCGGAAGGCCCAGAGTTGGGATGATACCTCTTGATGCTAGTAACCCCTCAAAACTCAGCACCTGTTGGCATGGCTCCCGGTAATTTTGTGTGTTCCTGGCAGGTGTGCTTGGCTTTCCAAGTATCAGGACAGCAGCCAGTGGTTACAGATAGATTTGAAGGAGATCAAGGTGATTTCGGGGATCCTTACCCAAGGACGCTGTGACATAGATGAGTGGATGACCAAGTATAGTGTGCAATATAGGACCGATGAACGCCTGAACTGGATTTACTATAAGGATCAGACCGGAAACAATCGGGTAAGTGGGTGTCACTGCAAGTCAGCTCACATCCCCTGAGATGTGCCCCGTTCCTATGCTCCTGCTGTCCCTGTCTGTCAGAGCATTGAACCCTCTGCATGTTGGGTCATCTGTGTTCCTTCTCCACAGTACGATCTCTCTTTTTCCAGATGTAGTCTGGGAGATTAGCAGTTTATAAATGAATCTCGGTCTTTTGTGCAAAATAAAAGTCTTTTTCTAGTTATCAGTATCAGCATCTAGTCTCTTGAAAACACTACCCTGGCGATTTGGACTGTTCCAAAGTCACTCCAACAATGACTGTGGGGCTCCATGGACCTAGCTTACCTGTTATCACTTGTATAGTTATGGTCACTTCTTACTATTGACTGAGACTGACACCTTCAAACATTTTAGAAGCCCAGCAAGTGAGCCGCTTTGAGGCTAGAGAGGTGACTCTGTGGTTAAGAACACATACCAATCTTGCAGAGAACCAGAGTCCAGTTCCCAGCACTCAGATCATAACATAAGGTAACCCCAGTTGCAGGGAATCAGGTGCTCTGGTCTCTAAGGACTTCTGCACTGCCTTGCACATAGACGTACACAGATACACATAGATACGTATAATAGTAAAAGAAATACTAAAAAAAAAGTTTAAAATGTTAGTAATGGGTAACAGTAAGACGAATTAATATTAATAGCTTAGATGGTCCTTTAAAAGACAGTGCCAGTCCAGACACACTTACACTACTAATCCTTGAGGACTGAGTTCTATCTAGAGCTTCACTATGAACTAATCTGTTAAACTCCTGGATGTCTTTGTGATCAATAAAAATTGAATTGAAAACTCACTTAGCTGTTTGAAAATGCTCTTTTTTTCACAACAGCAAGGAATTCTTCAGGCTGTTTTCCTGTCTCTGGCCTCTCAATGTGCAGCATAGGCTGGCTAGTCCTGATCCTTCTGCCCCACTTTCCTCAATGCTGGGATTACAGGCACATTCTACCACTTCCAGTTCTCCTAAGTCTATTCTTGACATTTAATCAGGTTGAGTAGAAGTATATGACTAATAATCAGAAGGCCTTATAGTCCACGGTGACAATTTGCACAGTAAGACATTCAGGGGTTGAGGTTTTGAGGAGTATGACACAATGGAAAAACCATTTTGATGCTCTTTGTTGGAGACATTTTTCATGTATCCCATACTGGTCCCCAATTTGCTATGTGGCTCAAGATAACCTTGAACTTCTGATCCTCCTGGGTCTATCCATCTTGAGTGCAGGGATTGGAGGTGTGTATGTACTATCTTCAGTTAATGTGCTGCTGGGGATCAGGATCCAGCCTTGTGTGTTTGTCATCCAAGCATACTATCAACTGGGCCACATCTCCAGCACCTCAAACTTTCACTTTCTGGCCTTTACTAGTTGCATTCTCCAAAAGACATTAGAATTCATTTTTCAGCTTTGTGCTTGGAAGGCCTTGAAGGCCTTGATGGTGCTCTGAAGGAGGCACTCCACTCTATTCACAAAGTCTCAGGTTGGATTTCAGGAACCCCCTCTTCACCTGCTTCTGAGTTGAATACACTCAAGGACAAGCAGCCTGAGAGGGCAGCTCATGCCCGGTTGCTAGGAAGGAAGACAAGATGGATGTAAACAAGGCGCACCTGTTTTGTGGATGGCTAAAGCTAAGTGCAGCCATTAAATATTTTTAGAAGAAAGTTAGAGGAGGAAATGAAATGCTCTCATGTCATGGAGCAGAACACTGTGACCCTGGAAAGAGTGCGAAGAGTGATTTCTTCAGAACTACTGTCAAGCGTCTGCAACATCTTACGTTGCCTCCTGAAAAACATTGAAACCTTTTATCTCTTTATATCAACACCACCTTCTCCTTTCCAAAATTTTCCCTCTAGTTTTTGTCTGTTAAAATCTATTTTTTGAAGCCTAAAAGGCACTTGTGACTTGTATCAAAGGAAAAAAAAATACACATTTAAGCTTTGGCTTCCAACTTCAGAGCTAGGCACAATATTTGACTGAAGTGCACCTTGGATATCTTCGGAATATATGAACAGCTCTCTTTTTATGCTATGGACCCTTTCAAAACTTTCTGTCAAAGTGTCAAGGATAGAAATGGAAAATTGGTTTTAAAGAAGAGTCGAGGCTATTCTAGCAACCATCCAATAAGACTATCTGTGATGATGGAAAGCAACTAACAAGCACTTTAAATGTGAGCTGGGCATGTGCTGTTGTGGTAGACTGCTTGCTTAGCACATACAAGGACATGGCACCACATGCATACACACAGAAACACACACACAGGTAAACTAAATTTTCAACTACTTTTACTTCATATAAATTTATCTGGGCACACATGGCTACTTGCTACCATTTTGGATAGTGCAGTGTCCCCATGTATTCAGATGTCCCCAGAGCTGTTTGCAATCATCCATTCAGATTTTATGGGATGCTACAAGTTCTCTGTAGTTAATCTACTTTTTCTAAGTTTCTCCATTTTTCAAAATTGAGGCTAGGGCCAGTGAGATAGCTCAACATATAAAGATACTTGCCACCGAGCATGGCAACCTTACTCAGTTCAAGGCCCCAAACTCACATGGTAGGAGAGAACATACACACACACACACACACACACACACACACACACACACACACACGCAGAGTTAGCTCTAGTCAGGAGTCATTTTTCCTTTTCCTTCTTCTACTGTGATACTGACTAGACTTCCTCTTCCTGTTTAGGTCTTCTATGGAAACTCAGATCGGAGTTCTACAGTCCAGAACTTACTGAGGCCCCCCATCATTTCCCGCTTCATCCGACTGATCCCTCTAGGCTGGCATGTCCGAATTGCCATCCGGATGGAGCTGCTTGAGTGTGCCAGCAAGTGTGCCTGATGCCTATTTCAGCTCAGTCCTGCCACTTGCAGAGAGAGCTTTGGGGGAGGGGCATCCTGAAATACCACTGCACTTTACAATGTAGATCTGGGCAGAGAATATTTTACTTTTACTTTTTAGAAGATAGTTTCAAATTTCAGAGAGAGATAGAGATAGAGATAGAGATAGAGATAGAGATAGAGATAGATAGATAGAGAGAGAGAGAGAGAGAGAGAGAGAGAGAGAGAGAGAGAGCTTTTCAACTCAGGGCCAAAGAAAATAAGAACAAAGAAAATATCTCTGAAACCAATTTTCTTACACAAACCCAAATAGCAGGGGTAATTTGCTGCTCTGGCTCCATCTTTTTCTCTTTGTCTCAGTGTCACTGTCGAAGGTGCAGACCCAGGGAACACAAAGCAGCTCTGATCATTTGAAAATTCTTTTTGGCTCTTAGCACATTCAGAAGAGGAACATACTATTCTGCAAAGCTTCATATGAACACTTTCATGAAATCCTCACTAGAGAGGCCTAGAGACAAATACATAGGCATGAAGAAAGCAGATCGAAGCCTGTCATATGGCCCCAGAGTCTGTAAACAGTAACCAACCAACCAACTAACCAACTAACCAACTAACCACCAGTCACGGCTTCCCCTTCCTGAAATTGCTTTTGCCTTGAAGGGGTTTAGGCTTTTAGCCATAGGACTGAGGAAATGTAGGCCAGTTGGAGCTCGTTTTGCATAAACTCTATTCTATAGCCCTTTTGGCAATGTCCCCTTCTGTGGTTGCCAGGAGATGAACGCAAGGGGCAGGCTACATGTGTGTGGGTAGTGAGGGTTCCTTTATACTGAGGAAGTCTAAATGACTAGAATACATCGAACCTTCTTTATCTATGCCTACAGTTTTCCAGAAATTGAACGGGCTTGGAAAATAGCTGAGACAAGCCATATCTCTGGCTACTGGGAGATCATGCTTTGGGGGAAGGGGTCAGGGCTCCTATCATACACAGATGGTTCAGTCATTAAAGGGCTTGCAGTATAAGCAGAGGGACTTGAGTTTATATTTCTAGAAAGCATGTAAAAAGCTAGCTATGGACAGGTATGGTGGAACATGTCTTTAATCTCAGTATTTGGAAGGCAGAGGCAAGCAGATCTGAGTTCAGGGCTACCCTGGTCTACATAGCAGTTCCAAGCTAGCCAAGACTACACAGTGAGACCTTTTCAAAAAACAAAACAAAATAAAAGACCTGGCATGGAGGAACACACCTGTAAATCTAGGACTAGGAGGCAGGCAGAGACAGGATGATTCCTAGAATTTGTTCAACAGTCAGTAAGCTCCAGGTTCACGGACAGACCCTGTCTCAAAACTAAAGTGAAGAGCAATTGAGGAAGATAACCAGATGTCAACCTCTGTCTAACATGCACACATACACATACAAACACTGTTAAGTTTCAAACCTGGGACAAATGGTGGAGGTGCCTAGTTAACGTCCTCCCAGCATTCCTCAGCCCCTACCAGGTCCTCCTAGCTGGCATACCCTGCCCCCTACCCTGAACTCTTTAGCCCAGGGGGTTAGGCTACTCTTCTCCATATAATCTAACCATTTTGGTTACCCTTACTCTTTGTACCTTTGAGCCTCCTAGCTGCTGTATCTGGTTCCCCTGCTCTCCCCTCTTTCCCTCCCTCCTCTCCTCACAAGGCCCAGCTCAGTCTGGTCATGTTCACTCTGGGCTCTCCCAGATGTCCCTGCCTCTGACTATGCTCTCCCACATGTCTACAATAAACTGTCTCCTCCGCCATACCTAGGAGCAGTCATGTTCCTTTCCTTCTTTTCTTTTCCCTCTTTTCTTTTTTATTCAAATACATGAGTAGGAAAAACAAAGCAAAAAACAAAAACAAAACACAAAAAGCCTATAGCTTTTCTCTGAGAGGCTTCTCTCCATCTTGCTCACCCAAACATGCTTACTCAGACATGACATTTGAAACCTCTTTGGGTAGTCATTCTCCACCAGGAGTAGCTCATTTAGTCGGGGCGCTTTGGAGCCTGAGAGAATGACTACTATTCTCAATCTCATTTCCATCTGTAGCTCAGGGTGGGGACCGAGGCTCTTCTCTGGGAGAGGCTGTTAACTGGGGTAGTGTCCAAGAAGCACGTGGGGAGAAGCTGAGAATGAGAACTGTCCAAAGTCAAGGTCTTGGCCTCACACATAGACTGAGGCTCTTTGCTTTCAGCTATTTTCTATTTAAGGGGGATTACATGGACTCACACCAAAATGACCTTGGATGGCCAGCCAGACTTGGTATCTTCCATCTTTAATCCTAGCACTTGGGAGACACAGACAGGTGGATGTCTGTGAGTTCAAGGCCAGGTCTACATAGCAAGCTCCAGGCCAGCCAAGGCTACATAGTGAGACTGTCTCAAAAATCAATCCATCAATCAAATGATCTTGGATGTCATATTCTTCTCAGTGAATGGAACAACTTTTTAAAAAGCCTCACATTTCCTGCCTGGTGTTTTGCAGTTCCACAGGGGTGTGTGTGTGTGTGTGTGTGTGTGTGTGTGTGTGTATGAATGGACAATGATATTCCTAGTATGACTACATATGTACAAATCCATTTTGGATAACATTCCTGAAAGCAGACTCTTATTTGGAAAACTGAGTTACTTTGCTCACTACATTGAGTAATTGTTTGAGAAAATGGCAATAAGTTAAAAATACTGATCAGGGAAAAAATAACAAAATGGTACAAGGCATGGATAAATACTCATCAAAGAAAAAATCATATCATAAATTTGTTTTGTGGGCTGGAAAGATGGCTCAACACTTAAGAGCACTGACTGCTCTTCCAGAGGTCCTGAGTTCAATTCCCAGCAACCACATGGTGGCTCACAACCATCTGTAATGAGATCTGATGCCCTCTTATGGTGTGAAGACAGCTACAGTGTATACATATACATAAAATAAAAATAAACCTTAAAAAAATCTTTAAAAAATAAATTTGTAATAGTTTTATTAACTTCAAATAAACAGTCCTTATTCATTTGAGGTGTCTGATTGAATACAGTATATTTAGACTTGCACAATCATCATCAAGAGTAACTTTAGACTATTCTTATCACCCCCAAGAAAATCTTTAGCCAAGAGCTGACACCCACCCCAGCTCTAGGTTACTTGTAATTCATTTGCTATTTGTATGTAGATTTTTTTTCCTGTTCCGGGCATTTCTTCACATAAAAGGAATCTTACAATATATAGTAGTTTATGACTTGTTTCTTGTACTTATCATTGTGTTTTTAAAGTCCACTTCTGCTTTTTACATTCTGTGTAAGGTATTCTATCATTATTTATCCATGCATTTGGGTGGTTTCCACTTTGGGGCTATTGTGAATAATGGTGCTTCATGAAAATTTATATGCAAGTTTTTGCATGGACATGTTTTATCTTGAGCATACTCACACCTAGAATAATTGGGTCTCTTGGGAACTACTTCCCCAGGTGGCTGTACCATTTTCTGTTCCCACAAGCAATGTAAAAAGGTTCCAGTCTCTCCACATCTTCAGCAATGCTTCTTGTATTTCATTAGATCCATCCTAGTATATGTGAAGTAGCATTCTATGGTGATGTTGATTTGCATTTCTCTAATAACCAATGTTGTTGAGCGTCTTTTCAAGTAACCAATTACATAGTTTTGGAGAAAAGTCTATTCAGACCCTTGTCCATTAAAAAATCTCAATTCACAGATCTATTAACAGTTCTTTGGATGTTCTACATGCAATTCTCTTATGCAAACATTTCTTTCCATCCTGTTTGTCTTGTTGTTCTTGTCTTGGTTTAGTTTTGCAACAGGATCTCACTATGTAGCTCTGGCTGGCCTGGAACTAACTATGTAGCTCAGACTGGCCAGGAACTTGCAAAGATCTTTCTGTTTCTGCCTCTCAAATTCTGAGATTATGGGTATCCATTCTCCACATCTTGCCTGTTTTTAAAAACTCTCTTGGTGAAGTCCTTTGAAGCACAACAAATACCAAACTTTAATGAAGTTCAAATTTCCTGTTTCTTTTTTTGGTATATTATCTAAGAAACTACCATCAAACCCAAGGCCAAGAAGATTTACTCTTCTGTTTTCTTCTAAAAGTTTTGAAATTCTTGATAGAAAAACGTTTTAAAGTTTTAACTCTTACTTTGTGAATACTTATAAAGCAAGAGTCTAATTTTACTCTTTGGATATAGATACGTAGCTGTCTTGATAACTTCTGTTGAATTTCTTCACCACAGTGAATGGTCTTTGAACTCTTCCAAAAACAACTGACCAAGAATATCAAGGCTTATGCCAGGCCTCATAATTCTATTACCTCATAGTCTTCATTACTGTAGCATTGTAGTGTGCTGTGAAACTAGGACATATAAATCTTCCAATTCTGGTATGTTTCAAGATTGACCTAACTATTTCGTGTTCCTTAAATTTCTAAGTAAGTATATCTATCTGTAAAGAAGATAGCCAGGGGCCTCACAATGGAAAATGCTTTCAATTTCAGAATTTAATAAACAGCAAGACACTAAGATCTGCAAAATATTTATCTGTAGGTAATTTTCTTTCAATAGCTAATGAAACTGTTATCATTTTCTTCCTTTTGTGGTAGGATGTATGTAAAAAAAGTATTATTAAAGTAAACCTGAAACAAAAATCTTCCCGTTAAACAAAAAATATGTTTGCAATATTATTTCTTTTGGGGGCAACTAATTCATTAAAGATTATATAACAGAGCAAAGTCATTTCTATCTTAACATATTTTATTTATTTTTAATACTAGACTTTGGGTTATATATGGAGGATTTTATTTTTTATAGTTTTGAGGACCTATTAAGAAAAACAAAATGAAAGTAATCCTGGTACTTGATGTGGGAGGTTATATGGTGTGGTGGTTTGAATATGCTTGGCCCAGGGAGTGGCACTATTAGGAGGTGTGTCCTTGTTGGAGTAGGTGTATCACTGTGGGAGTGGGCTTTGAGACCCTCCTCC